ATATCTAACAGTTTTCTATCTCTCGAGCAATTTTTAACAACTTTTTTTATCCCTCGAGCAGTGTTTGTACAAAATTTTATCACTCGAGCTATTTTTAATAGCCTTTTTTACCACTCAAGCTATTTTTGTACAATATTTGATCTCTCGTGCAATTTTTGAACAAGACATTTTAAAATTTCTAACGCTATGTTATCTCTCAAGCAATTTTTATTAAAAATTTTTATCTTTCGATCAATTTATAAACAATGTTTTATCTTTTGAGAAATGTCTACTATTTTATCTGTAAAGCAATTTTTAACAACTATTTTTATCTCTCTGGTAATTTTTGAACAAGAGTTCATCTCTCAAGCAATTTATAACTCTATTTTATCTCTCGGGCAATTTTCATCAACCTTTTTTATCTTTCGAATTAATGTTGAACAAGGTTTTAACAATTTCTAACACTACCCAGGCAGCACACATTAGTATAACTAACTATACGTAATACTCGTTTAATTTTGGTATTGGTTGATTCCGTATACGTTTACAGTTTACGATTATTATACATACCGTGTTTTAAACGATATATTATATGTTTTTTATATACATCCTATGGTATATAATTGTAAATTTTTCTACGTTTAAATACAGTTAACAATATACGAATATTTTTAGTTTGCGATGAACTATTTATATACACTGGGCCTAAATATACGTTTAGGTTTATTTAAATTAAATTCGTATAAACTTACATTATATTACAATATGTTTTCTTCGTTTATAATTTTCGTTTAAATTTCGTCTTGGTTGATTTTTTAAACGTTTACCATCTACCATTTTTATACTTAACGTTTTTTAACAGATAAATTAAACGCTTCTGTTTGTCGATACCATTTAATATACCTATATTATTCTACGTTTAAATATAAGTCACCTTAAACGCATAATACCAGTTTACGATGAACTAGTAGACAGAAATTAATAATATGTATATATTTAGGTTTATTTAAATTAAAAGCTTATAGATATATTTATTTACATTACATCCATATTTTTTTAATTATATTACCTGTAATATTTATAACAAATTCCCCATACACATGGAACTATTTTTAGATGGCGGATGGAGGATGACTAGTGGTACGGTCTTTTCTCATTTCTACTCATGCGTATGTGTAGTATTATTGTTCAGTGTAGGGAATGGTTTGTGGGAGCAGGTCCTGGCTTTTACGATATTGATTAAAAGCATAGGTAAGTTTCTATTAATGTTTTAATTTAGCTACTCCTTTAATAATTGTTGCATTTTACAACAACTACTGTTTTATAGGTGTACGTACAGTGTGTTAATTGCGTATAGAAACTTCAAAACATAACCTTACTTTTGTTTCTTTTATTTTTATACGTATTTTTTAGGTTACCTAGTTATTCCAAGCATACTTATTTTCCTTTTTTTAGTCAGTTGTTTTTATTTAATAAAATGTCTAAAATAACCCTGTCTCTGCGTCATCTACGTAGAAAAATAGCGCAAAATGTTCAAGATGCTTTAAAGTCAAATCAATTTTTTTTTATTCCCAATGAAGATAACATTAATAAGGCTTCGGACATTATTATATCATCTGATTCTATTATTTATAATAAATTCCAAGAAAATAATTCAAATTTAACTTCGGAGCTTTTAGAAAATATTTCACCTGAAATTAAGTTACATTTTGATTATAGGTATGGGGGTGTACCAAGTGACTTAACCGACCGAACGATTAGGTGTGCCATGCAAGATTAGCTTAAGTTAGCTAAGGCCCGTCTAGGATACAACACATCCAAAGTGTTAAGCTAAGATTTTTATTTTCAGAAATATTTTTTGTTAGTTAAAGAAAAGTTTCGTTTAGTTTGTTATTCACTATTTTAGTGCTTATTTTTTTGTATTTATTTATTTTTTAGTATTTTATTGTTTATTTTTTTTTAATTAAATATTGTTCTGTACATATAACAAGTGATCAAAAAATTTTTCTAAATATTTAGGCCAATTACAACCAAAACAGAAACACGAGTAATGCCTATTTCTGGTGTATACACACCTGCTATGGATTAAATCCAAACTATAATTTAGGAAATATTAACATTTTTCCATGGCCTCTTTTAGAAATTTTGTTTTGATCACTTTATTTAATTTGTGTTTAAAATACATTTAAAACAATATCAGGTAGACGCATTTTACACATTAATAAAAATCATACAAATATATCTAATATAGACGTATAGTAAAACAGGATAATTAAAGGTAGATAAAGTAGTAATGTTAGACGTATAAAAAATAAAAAAAATATACGTTTATAGGGCGGACATTTTCACGTATATATTGGGTAGCATATCAACAGTATCCATACGTATATTGTAGTACATAAAAAAACGTATTTTATACCAAAGTGAATTCGTATAAATATACTACAACTATAAATCTAATATAGACGTATAGTAAAAACGTTTAATTATAGGTGGATAAATTCTTAGTAATCGACGTTTATAAGGCGGACATTTTCACGAATATATTTGGTAGCACATCAACCGTATTCATACGTATGGTAGTAACTAAAAAAATACGTAATTTATACCAAAGTGTGCTGCCTGGGTATTTTATCTCTCGAGCAATGTTTGAACAATATTTTAACAATTTATAATAGTATTTTATTTCTCGAGCAATTTTTTAAAAATGTTTTATCTTTCGAGCTATTTTTGAAAAATAGTTACACTTTCAAGCAATTTCTAACACTATTTTATCCCTTGTGCAATTTTTAACAGCTTCTTTATCTCTGGAGTTATTATTGAATAATATTTTATCTCTCGAGTTATTACTGAACAATATTTTATCTCTCGAAAAATTTCTAACAGTATTTTTTCTCTCGAGCATTCTTAACAACCATTTTTATCTTTCGAGCAATTTTTGAACAATATTTCATCTCAAACAATTTATAACAGTATTTAATCCCACGAGCAATTTTTGACAACCTTTTTTATTTCTCGAGCAAAATGTTGAACAATATTTTATCTTTAACAGTATTTATTTTCTTAAGCAATTTTTAACAACTTTCTTATCTCTCGAACAATTTATTACAACTTTTTTTATCCCTCGAGAAGTTATTAAACAATATTTTACTTCTTGAGCAATTTTTGAACACAATTTTATCTCTCCTGCAATTTTTAGCACTATTTTATCCCTCAAGAAATTCCTCGCGATAAATTTCCAGTAGTATTTTATCTCTCGAATAATTTTTATTAACTTTTTTGTCTTTCAAGCTATTTTCGAACAATATTCTGTCTCGAACAAATTTTGGAATATATTTCACCTCTCAAGCAATTTCTGACAGTATTTTATCTATCTTTCGAGACAATTTTAAACAATATTTTATCTCTCGACAAATTTATCACATTATTTTATCTTTCGAGCAATATCTTAAAACGATTTTAATAACTTATGATACTATTTTATCTATCGAATAGTTTTTAAACCTTTTTTCATCTCTTGAGTTATTTTTAAACAATATTTTATCTTTTGATAAATTTCTAACAGTGTTCTATCTCTCGAGTAATTTTTAACAACTTTTTTTATCCCTCGAGCAATGTTTGTACAATATTTTATCCCTCTGGTAATTTTTAATAACTTTTTTTTATCTCTCGAGAAGTTTTTGAACAATATTTTATCTCTCGTGCAATTTTTAATAACTTCTTTATCTCTGGAGTTATTACTGAATAATATTTTATCTTTCGAATTATAACTGAACAATATTTTACCTCTCGAGCAATTTTGAACACTATTTTGTCTCTCCTGCAATTTTTAGCACTATTTTATCCCTCAAGAAGTTCCTCGCGATAAATTTCCAGTAGTATTTTATCTCTCGAATAATTTTTATTAACTTTTTGTCTTTCAAGCTATTTTCGAACAATATTTTGTCTCGAACAATTTTTGGAATATATTTCACCTCTCAAGCAATTTCTGACAGTATTTTATCTATCTTTCGAGACAATTTTAAACAATATTTTATCTCTCGACAAATTTATCACATTATTTTATCTTTCGAGCAATATCTTAAAAAGATTTTAATAACTTATGATACTATTTTATCTATCGAACAGTTTTTAAACCTTTTTTCATCTCTTGAGTTATTTTTAAACAATATTTTATCTTTTGATAAATTTCTAACAGTGTTCTATCTCTCGAGTAATTTTTAACAACTTTTTTTTATCCCTCGAGCAATGTTTGTACAATATTTTATCCCTCTGGTAATTTTTAATAACTTTTTTTTATCTCTCGAGAAGTTTTTGAACAATATTTTATCTCTCGTGCAATTTTTAATAACTTCTTTATTTCTGGAGTTATTATTGAATAATATTTTAACTTTCGAGTTATAACTGAACAATATTTTACCTCTCGAGCAATTTTGAACACTATTTTGTCTCTCGAGTAATTTTTTAACAAACTTTTTTGGGGATTTTCTAATAGTATTTGAACTCTCGAACAAGTTTTAACAACTGTTTTCATCTCTCGAGCCATTTTTGGAGAAAACACCAATTTTTATTGAGTTTAACTATTTTATCTCTAGAGCAATTTTTAACAACTTTTATTTATCTCTCGAGCAATTTTTAAACAATATTTTATCTTTCATACAATTTTTAATAACTTCTTTATCTCTGGAGTTATTATTGAATAATATTTTATCTCTCGAGTTATAACTGAACAATATTTTACATCTGGAGCAATTTTGAACACTATTTTGTCTCTCCACTAATTTTTAACAACCTTTTTTTATCTCTGAAGCAAATTTTGAACAATATTTTATCTCTCGAGAAATTTCTAACAGTATTTAAACTCTTGAACAATTTTAAACAACTTCTTTATCTCTCTAGCAATTTTTAATGACTTGTTTTTCTCGAGCAATTTTTGAACATTATTTTATTTCTTGAGGTTTTTCTAATAGTATTTTTATTGAGTTTAACGATACAAATCAGCATCGTCTACTTAACCTCACCTGCAGAACTGAACCGACTCGTGGGCAACAGGCCGCTGTTGAGCATCGACAGCTTGATGGCGTTGGGAATGGACGCGAAAGAAGTGGCCGCGCTGGTGTGCCTCTTCTTGCGCGGCTTCTCCACGTCATTGTGACGTGGCGTCGATCTGGATCGGTGTTTGTTCTTCTTGACGGTGCTGCTGGATGGATGAGAACGATGCTTGTTACTGTCTGGATCGGTAGACATCGCTGGTGTTATAATTTACTAGGATGCTGGTACAGGGAGACAGTGGTCATCCGCATTGGGTCTGAAAACAAAGAAACACGCCGTTTAATGATAAATAGCTGTTTTGAAAGGTTTTAAATCAACAATTTCAAGTCAAAACCATTGAACTACATATTAAAGTGGAAGCTCAAACGTATATAAACGAATAAACCATATAGCGTCGTTATTTTTGATAGTTTGGATCCCATATGGGCGTTTCCAAAGAAAGTAACACAGAGTACCAAAATTAAATTAAATACTACTTATTAAATTTAAGTACAATTTTTAATTATGGAAGTTTCTAATTAATATATTATTTGTTTATAACTTGTAACGTTGTATTCACGTTATTTTATTTTACAACTACACATTTAATTAATTTGAATATTTTCAATGTAACGGGCTCTTAACGTAAAGTGTAGTCAGTCCTTAACGCAGCGTGAAATACCACCGTTATTGTTCGACTCGGAAACACCGCTGAGTGATGACGAAAATCGGTAGTCTTTATTTTTGTCTAGCGTAGAAAAAGACAGTCAGCGGTCAAGAGTACGATCGGAGTAGATTAAAACACAAATCGCCGGTTTCCTTCGAGAAATCGACAGAAAATTCGACGAGTTGGTTTGTGTCTCTGATCCAAGTAAGTTGTATTGTAATTATTAATTATTTTCTGATCAAATGTCCATCTATTTTAAGGGGTTTTCTCGCCACAGAGAAAACGGTTCCTTACGAATGACGCTGGTTACGGGCGGTTCTCGAGCGCCAGATTTTTGATGATGGTTTACTCCACAAACTTTCGAAACGGCGTCGAAAGTACTCGGGTAGCTACAAATGGAGATGAAAAATTCCAGGGGTCAAAGGTCACTTAGACACAGGTAATAGTAGGCCACAAGTAACGGGATTTAATCGTTGCTTGGGCTGGTACAGAATTTATCACTAGCTGAAATATAAGGGGGAAATAAAGTAGGGAATTATTAACCAGTAATACGGCAGGTTAACATTGACACATATATTGTGATTAACTATTTACAACAACAAAAAAAGAAATTAAATATTTCAACGCCCACCCCAGTCGTGGTGATAGTCAATATAACCCTGAATAAATAATAAAAAAAAGAAACAAAACGGACGGTAGTGATTCGCGACTAGTCTCAATCAGACGTTAAAATTAAATTAAAATAAAATGTACGTTTCGGTCGCAGAGAAAAATATTATTAACTTGGCTATTTACTCGGTAAATAACTGTTTAACCTCGGTATCGGGAATTAACTAAAATGTAGGTATTTTGCTATTTAGGTGAAGAAAAATTAGCTAAACGGTCGAAGAGAGTGCGAGGAGACAGGGACGCGAAAGAATTACTTATAGTAAATACACGGAAAGAAAATAAAAATAAATTTATACTCGGGGTAGCCTTTTATCCCAGAATGAGCTGATCGTCATCACGAGCCCGCTCAGACAGGGTAATTAAGCTATTTTTGGATTTCTACAACTTGAGGTTTGCACGAAAAAAACAATGAAGCATATGAAGCGGAAAAGAAAACTAACGCGGATAGCACCTAGTCCAAGAATGAACTGATCGTCATCACGAGCCCGTTCAGACAGGGACAGCATACTACGAGGATATATCAGTATATAACGAGACGTGCTATAACTTCTTTCAGAGGTAACATTTTATAACCCAAAAAATGAGACATTAAAGCCTTATATTTAATGTACTACCCCGCAAGTAGGCTTTGATTTAACTTTTGACATTTGTTACAAATTAATTATTGATTTGTCAGTGTTTTGCGTACCCATCGAAAAATGAAAGTGGAGCAAAGATACGCGATAAAATTTTGTGTTCGATTGGGTAAAACACCAACTGAAACTTTTGAAATGATTAAAGGTACATAGCTAGATAATAGTTTATCACGATGTAGAGTGTTTGAGTGGCATAAAAAGTTTAAAGACGGTTGTGAATCAGTTGAAGATAAACCGCGTCCCGGTCGACCACAAACTGCGAGAAATGACACAAAAATTGCAGAAATTAACGACTTGATACAAAATGATCGCCGGATTGGCATAAAACGAATTTCTGACAATGTTAATTTGTCTTACGGTACCACTCAAAAAATTATTCATGAAGATTTAGAGTACCGGAAGATCGCGGCAAGATGGATTCCAAAAGTGATGACCGATGAACAAAAAGCGAATCGAGTGACAATTTGTCAGCAGTGGAAAAGGCAATTGCAACGTAACCCACAGTTTTTAAATAATGTGGTTACATGTGACGAAAGTTGGTTTTATCGTTACGATCCTAAATTGAAGTCTCAAAGTATGCAATGGAAGCATAAAGGCAGCCCAAGACCGCAGAAGGCCAAAACTGCTAAAAGTGCTGGTAAAGTGATGCACCTGATTTTTTTTTATAAATTTGGCGTTATTTACGATCACATTGTACCTAGAGGACATACAGTAATAGGGGAGTACTATTCTAATGTACTTCGAGGACCCTTAAAGGCAAAATTAAAGAAAAAAAGGCCGCTTTATCAGGACTTTGGCTGGACGCTGCATCACGACAATGCTCCGGCTCATAGATCAATGATTTGTCAACGAACAATTGAAGAATTAGGGGTTGAAATTATGGTTCATCCCCCCTACTCTCCTGACCTTGCTCCATGTGACTTCCATTTGTTTCCTGAAGTCAAAAAAGAATTGAGAGGTAGAAGATTTGAGTCGGATTTAGAGCTCAACAACGCTGTGATGGGTATACTAAACAGACTATCAAAAAATGGTTTCTCAGAAGTTTATGATAAGTGGATAAAGCGATGGAATAAGTGTATTCAACAGAATGGAGAGTACTTCGAAGGATAGTTGTTGAATTTTTTTAAATAAATGTTTCGTTGTTATACTATAGCACCAGTCTCGTTATTTTCTGATACATCCTCGTATTTAAAGTTATTTAAATTGACGGTAAAAGAGAAAAACAAATTATTATCGGCGGGAAGAAAATTACTAACGCGGATAGTACCTACTCCAAGAGTGAACTGATCGTCATCACGAACCCGTTCAAACAGGACAGGATACTATTTGATATTCATCTATATGAATCTGTAGTAATCCAATTGTTACTTAAATAATATTATTTTTCATTCATTATCGTTATTAGCAAGCTTGGTCTAACGGTTTCTTTATCAGGTAGGTATTTAGTAAGTTGACCAATATTTCAACTTAATAAAAAAATATGATGGCGCCCTATTAACGAGAAAAGGTAAACATATTCAAGAACTCAAAGGCCGTAGCACGACCCGAGATTAGCTGGAGCATAAATTAAGGTGAAATCTTTAAAATATACGTCTTTTTAAAAACTTAATAACAAACTGTAGTCAATTGACGTTAAACACTACAAAAACGTCAAGGGAACACTGCAAACTTTGCGTGGGAAATGTTAATAATATTTTTCCTTACAGAATACATTTCTAATGGTACATTGAGGCGATCTAGGCTCAGTCTGATGCTACATATTTTGTTTTTACTGGAAAGGTTAATACAATTTTCTTTCGGTATAAATGTGTAATAAAAAGTTAGTAAATTCTCGCATACGTTTTTTATTTTTTTGATGGGGTAGAATGACTGGTGTAACTTTAGAATGCCTATTTCTTTATATCGAACATTTTTCTTTGTGTAGGAATAAATGTCTCGAAATAAAACCAGAACGGCGTAAAAATGTTATTGGTCGTACGCTCGAAAAGAAATTTGATAAAACGGGCAGTAAAATCGTTTGAGTGATATAAAGATTGTCTGCATCTTGCAGGTTATTCCACGTTTCTGCCCTTTTATTGCGAAATCGTAAAGTGTTGCTGAGACGCTGAACTGTTTTCTTGCAGGACATCGACTCATGAATTTACAAGAAGCCGAGGCGTTTGTCTATATAAATATAAATCTGGTTTATGCTGACTGATGTGCAATATTTGTGGATACTATTTATTGCAAAATCTGGATGGAATAAAGGATATTATAGAATTGATAAAAATATAGTGTCTACTTAAATTGGCACCATACGAGAAACTTATTTATTATTAGTTTTATGTAAAAAAGTTATTCGTCATAAAAATGTATGTATGGTCTAAAACTTAAAATCCAACAATAGCATATGAAGTTCTTTTAGTCATGTACGAATAAAATATAAATTTTATACAACAGCCAAATTTCTTTATTTTTAACATTATCGAAAAAACCCATAGATTATTTACTTAGCACTATTTAATCCGTCGAGCAATTTTTAACAACCTTTTACATCTCTAGAGCAAATTTTGAACAATATTTTAACTCTAAATCAATTTTTAATAACTTTTTGATCTTTCGAGCACGATTTTAGCAGTTTATAACACTTTTTTATTTTTCGACCAATTTTTGAACACGATTTTTACAATTTCTAATACCATTTTATCTCTCGAGAAATTTTTAAGAAAAATTTTTTCTCTCGAGATATTTAAGAACAATATTTGATCTCTCGAGCAATTTTAACAATTTCTAACACCATTTTATCTGTAAAGCGATTTTAAACAAATATGTTTATCTCTCGAGCAATTTTGAACAACCTTACAAATTTTGAACAATATTTTATCTCTCTACAAATTTTTAACAATATTTAATTTCTCGATCAATTTTTGATCATTTGATCTCTCGAGTAATTTTTGAAAAAGATTTTAACAACATCTAACACTATTTTATTCTCGAGCATTTTTTAACAACCTTTTATCTCTAGAGTATTTTTCAATAATATTTGATCTCTCGAGCAATTTTTGAACAATATTTGATCTCTCGAGCAATTTTTGAACAAGATATTTACAATTTCTAACACTATTTTACCTCTAAAGCGATTTTTGATAACTATTTTTATCTCTAGAACAATTTTGAACAACCTTATAAATTTTTTAAAAAGATTTTAACAACATCTAATAATATTTTATCCTAGAGTATTTTTTAATAACCTCTTATCTTTCAAGTAATTTTTGAATATTTGATCTCTCGAGCAATTTTTGAACAATATTTGATCCTTCGAGCAAT